GAGGCGCCTGCAAAGAGTGAGTCCATCTCCAATGGAAGGATGAGAAATTCGATACGAGAAGCAGCTGCTAAGATAGTGTTCAGGGCTCTGAGGTGCACTCTATTTGCCCCAATGTGTTCAAGGGTTTCTTTATCCACTTCATCCTCTGATAATGCCACTGTACCAGCCCATAACGTGTTGTCATAAGCTATAACTCCTCCAATTTTCACTAGTTTCAGCAACTCTTCATGATAGTTTATGTAGTTTTCTTTATCAGCATCCACAAATGCAAAATCGAAACTTCCTTCTTCTCCCTACAGTTTTCATCAAGAATAAGCAGAATTTTCAAGAACTTATCGATTCATATAGGCCCAGTTTAAAGAAACTCTATTTCATGTATATGTTGCTCCTATATCGTTGAAGTCTGTTAAAATCATCTCGTTTAAAAGCTTAAATAATTAGATAGAGACATACATTGGACAGAAATTCCTTAAGAGTAGTCATGGCATCTGACTCAATAAACTGAATTTTATGTGCCACTCCTGCCTTTTCAATATATGGTAATCCTGTCTCATATGCTTCAAGATTTGGATCAATCGCGACGATCTAAAAAAAAAATGTGAAATAAATATTCTGAATTAGGCTCGTAAATAATTAAACCAAATTAATCTACTTGGATATTGGCAAGTAAATTAATATTTTTATTATTAGAAAATAATTAACTTACTTTGGCATCATCTGGGAGAGCAAGAGCAGTAGAGAGAAGTGAGTAACCAGTAAATACTCCAACTTCTATTGTCTTCTTTGCATTCATTACTTTCAAAAGCAATGATATAAACTGGCCTTCGTCAGCAGGCACATTCATCACGCTCCTGAAAATAAAATCTCTCTTCACATTACTAGTAAGTCTTGTAAAAGTCATTTACGAAATTATATTGTAGGATTGTTTGGCATGACTTTTGAAAAGTCCAAAGAGTTCTTGAAATTCAAAAGTTGTTTTTGACCTATTTACTTAATTTTATAAAAGTGTTTCTTCTCGTCAGAAATTTTTTTAGAGGAAACTGATCAAATATGGCTTCCTCTAAAAACTATTCGGAAGAGTAAGCTCTTTCAGAAGTTAGTTTTCAAACATCAATTAAGATAATTTTCTCAAAAAACCCTTTCACAAAGAGTGGAAATCCTATCAAACAAGCAAGTAATGGGAATACTATTATC